CCACGTCGTGTAAATTTTCAGTGAACATGTGGTTTAGCAAAAGGCGGAAGCGACGGCAACACTTACAATTTAGATTTAGCTTCGGTGAGACGTGAATTTTGGAAGCTGTATTTCCTATAACCTTCATGTTCGACTATGAATATAAATAGAAAATAACACGTGGTCAAATCTTCCAGTTGTCGAGTTTCGTTCCTAGCCGCGAGAAACGCCATGACAAAGCCACTGAATACATAAAGTTCGTCGGGTTTTTCTTTTCGTTTGTTGGTTTTCTTCTACTTCTAGAGAGTTTAAACGTCTCTGTCTGTCGGTTTTTAATGTTCTAGCCGCCATAATCCGATGAAATTCCGACAAACTAACTCGGATCGAGAATTGCCGTTCATTCATCAACCTGACTGAGTGGCGCAAAAGGCGATTGACGTGTCAGCAGCTGATTGGCGATATCCAACACACCTGAAAAAATGTCGTATTTTCTCACGTGTGTTAACGTTGTTACGGCTTTTCTCAGGGCCGGAAAGCCTTGTATAGCATAGTAGTTTACATGATAAACGACACAGACAATCTCTAAATAATTAATGGCATAACCGCGTGTTGGGGTTCGGTGAGGATGTCGCTGTAGATGAAAAGTGTTTGACTAAACGTCCATTAAATAAGTGTACTATCATATTTATTTTGCAGCCTGCAAGTGTTGACTTTTCCGACTGAGACCCATTTAAAAGTAAAGTTAGGTGTTCGTCCTTTTCTGGCGCCATTTCCTTTCAAATGTTGATCGCTGGCTTTCAAATTTCTTCCATAATAGCATTAGCATTAGCATATCAGTTGTTATGTTGCTGTTATACTAATGCAATGCTAATGAGGTATAAATACTGAACATGTCCGGCCATTCTGCGCCATGAGAGAGTTGGTTCAACTTTTGAAACATATTCACTAACTGATACTCTGAAGTTATCAATTAAAGCACAGTTCACGGTTCAGATACTTCGATTTATTTGATGACGCTTGTACCTCTAAAATATGACCTTGACTTCCATCAATGAATAATATTTGTATTTGAATGAATGTCTACTTTCGTTCATGGTTGATGAAGCTCTGTGGCGAGATGATTCCAGGAAAACATGGATCTTCTCAGAAAAAAACAATAAAGAAAATCATCGACCCAAATAGTTACCCTCTAATAGCCTAGAACTAAACTATGCCTTTCCCAAAAATAGTCTGTTTACTCAAACTCTAAGAAATGTCTATGGTAAAGAGGAAATGACCCAGGGAAACTTAATAGTTAGAGGAGAAAAGTTAAGTAAAAAGCAACAACCTTAAATATTGAAGCCTTCTTTTTTTAATTCTGACAAGTTGCCAGCACCATCCAACCGAGACAGCCCAGTGCTACAACGACAGAGGGGTCAAGTTTTCTCTTCGAATGGGACTTTCATCTTCAAAATGAGGACGAAATAGAATTAACAGGGTTCATTTTTGGCCTTTGGGAGAATGGTTATACCACGTTTTATCTTATGACGGTAACCAAGCAGGGAAGAGTGATTTCTAATCCTCAGTTGAGCAAGACACATCCTACTTACGTTGGGCGAGTGACTTGGGTAGGAAACATATCGAAGTCGTATTTGGCCTATAAATTGGTGAACCTGACTTTCTCCGATAGCAACACATACGGATGTCAAATTGACGTGGGAGGTTTCCGACGAACAATTCATTCTAAGATCACCTTACATGTCCAGGTAAGATTCTGATGGCAAACTTGACGCGTATCTGCTTCTATGTACGATTGGACCTTGCCTGGCTAAGCCTTTAAGGCGCAATTATATATACACGACCTCTCACTTGCCCCAAGGAATGACGCCTCATTTTTATGTGGAAAGCTGAGATCAAGTGGCAAAATTATTTTGGGATACCATGCTTGTGGCAGCGGTATTCAGGGCAATTCTTTTGCAATTCAGGGTCAAATTTCCTTTTTTTTCTTTGACTTTTCATGCTCGTGTTTTAAATGGCGATTTAAAAACTTCAGCGCGAAATTTTTCTGATAAGGAGGTTTTGGAAAGTGCACTCAAAATGTAGGCACAGTATCCGCACGGTTTTAACGCATCTGTCATCAGAAGGTTCATATGTTTTAGAAAAATGTCCGTTAAAGTTCCCATGAAAAGCATCTGAAAAGCATGTAAAAAATACCATCCCCTAAGCATCCTTTTCCACTTGCTTTGAAACTTGTTCTGGAAGCTTACATTGGTGCTCAACATAGTACTCGAGAAGTTAGTACTGATTTATGTACATTATTGGTTATGTTACTCAGCGTTACTACTACTATCATATCTAACAGCTCATTCCCTTAGCAAAAGATTTTATCCACTCAAAGACGTTCGGGTTGTAAAATGAGCTTTTCCGCTCAGCTCACTTTTAATAAAAATTTCGATGCTTGGGTGCTATTAGGTTAATAATAGCTCAGTCAAAGAAGGAGAGAGCTATCATACATATCACGTTCCAAGAGCACGAAAATGGGAACAAAGAGAGTCCGTCGGTCGGTGATT